TGTAGTAGGGTGGAGGCTTGGTGGTGAGCTGGGAAGTATAAGCGAGGAATCGCATACTTCGATTCGAGTCATGGTGATTCAGTGGTAAGATTGGGTTGGACTTCCCTGGTTAGGTGCAAAGTCTGGAACGAAGTGGGAGACAGATCCTATCCAGTCACATTTCCTCTGTTCAGAACGCGGCGAGGTCATTATTTGGAACCTGAATGGATCTCAACATCTGTTCCGAGACGAGGGTGCAGTACGTGGCACGAAGATTCGGTTAAGTGGTGACGGAAATAAGGTAGCCTGTGGGTAAGTTACTTAAGAAGTTAATTTCAGAGGACCATTTCTCTCCAGTAGGTGTAAGTTTACTTCAGGTCGAGTACTGGTATTGTGAATGTATACGACGCAGCTGATGTCCGAAATAGTACTGATCCCAAACCTGACACAGTAGTGACGAATCTGGTGACCTCATGCGATTCCATTGCTTTCAATCATGACTGCCAAGCAATGGCGTTCAGTAGCAACGTTAAAGTAGGTGTTATTTCTCTCAGTTTCCCTTTGCTTGCATTCGGATGTGAAGAAACTCCTGCCTGTCTTCAATTTCAGAAAAATCAAGTGAAACTTCTCCACGTTACCAGCGGTACTGGTGTTCAATAACTTCCCAAAGAAACACGAAAAGGTAATTAATAATTATTTTTAATCTGCGTCGTCTCGCGCTTTGAGTAAAAAGTGCGTGATGGCGGCTGCATAGTTCCTAATAAGATACTCCGTGGCAATCAATCAGATGGGCGGGGACTCACTATCATTGCATCTTGCTAGCTGGTATGTTCCTCCTCGCGCGCCAATAAAAAAGGCAAAATGGTAGTAAGTATACGAGCATCCGAACAGTGCCGGTCGTGTCTTTAGGTCCCGATTCTATGTGGTCTGCGACTGCACGGTGACCAGCTGTGGTTTGCGTACGCGGTCCTGCTGCCTTATACAACCCGTTTAATCCTTTTATGTTGCAGTTCTATCTGTTTTCGCTTGTTATAGATGTCCAATGTGGAATGTGTTGAATTTTCACCGCATAGTGGTTATCTGGGCATTGGATGCGGAAATGGTCAATTAATTCTGGAACGAATGAATCATTTCGAAGACTATTAAATACGATGAGCCGAAGTCGATACTTTTACACTGTATACTTGTTGAGTTTGTTGTTATATGGTATTGTTGTGCTTGTTGTTTTGTTAGAAATTAGGCAGCGTTCAGACTTCGTGATAATGCGCGTCGGACGCGCTACAATTGCGAGAGCGCTGCATCCTATAGACGCAATGCAGCCGCGAAAGGGAATCGATCGACACAGCTCTTTTAGAGCACTGGAGCACTGAAAGTAGGCGTGTTGTTGTCCGTCGGCACGTTATGTAGTCTGAACGCTGTTTTGTTGTTTTTTTTTCTCGTACCTCACGTTACTTCCACTCGGCTATCCCTGCCTCTGTTACTTCGGTCAATATTTAACAAGCTCGTTTCGAAACTGTGGCTGCGCAGAGCACATTGTTAGTTTGCTGTTCATTTCTTTCCTCTGATTAGATGAAATATAAATGTATATGATTACCAGGTAATGGAAAGTTTTGCACATTTTGCACCTCTGCCTAGTTCCTTTTGCGTGTTCAGGTTAATTAGCAGCTTGCTTCACACCTTGGTGAATCTGTAGACTCCTGGGTAGCTGCGAAATGGTATAATTGAACCACTTCGAGACAGAACTTCACAGACCTTCACAAGATGATCTGTACAAGCTTTGGTGGTTTACTTGGTGTCCCCACCAAGCCGTACAGCTCCCGAATATGTACCACTTAACCTTTGTTGAGTCCTCTTTTTTGGTCTGTACCGCTTTCATAGATATGAGAGAGGAGGCGGGGGGGGGGTCTTAGGTCTGCACAACTGGAACTCAATCCCTACCAACGGGTCGGTTTTCTGTTTTCCTCTGCGGTGGCCCTTGGTTGCCAAAGAAGAGAGGGATCATATTTGGCTTGGCAGGAAGTGCCTGATGTCTGCATTGATTTCCCCGTTTCTGAAACGCTCTGTGCTTCCCCTTTTCACCTTAGGAAGTATTTAATATCGCGAAGACCTGGGCTCAAAGCATATCACTGCTTTTGCCGATGAGAAGAAGCAGTGGAGTTGGAGGTGTTGGATGCAGGCACGTGCGCTCTGAAAGAGTTTTGCAAAATACGGCTCCCCTTCAAAATTTCCTATGTTGGCATGCGACCCTCCCTCCTTCTAACCACTAGACACGGCACTCATTGCTGCTCATCCGCAAACTAAGACGAGCCTCGTTAGATGAGAAGCCTGAATGAGAACAACGTTGCCATTCGTGTCCGTCTTAGCCCAACGACTGGACCTTTTTCCCTAGTGAGCTCGTTGGTCATGCTCATTCCGAATCCCCTTTCAGAAGGGATTGTGCCGAACTCGAATCGCGCTGTTTTTTAATCGTTATTGCGAGTACTGTGCAAAACCGGACCACTTGCTTGTTTTACCAGTTTTGCCTCATTCTGAAACCATTTCTTTTCTCGCTACCCACTAACCCATCTAAATCGTAACCGGTAGCCGTTGGTTTGTAATTGCATTACCACCATGAAGACAACGACGACATGGTATGCCCTAGTGTCCACTAAACCCACATCGTCACTGAGACCCACTTCCAGCTCCTCTCCAACCAACTTCTGCCACTTCCTCCTTTCTCTTTACCTTGTTCCCAGCCTTCCTGTAACCAGGTTTCGTCTAACAGTTCTCACGGAGGGGGTATATTCAGAGCCAGGAAAGGAGCAATTCCTACGCTTTTTCGCTCGGAACGTTTCACTCATGCTATCACCTTTTTTAAGTTAGTGTAGAGCGCTCTGCCTCGTAGTCCGACCCCTTTCGATAAGACCAGGTACAACCTCAGTCAGGAGTTTTCGCTCGAAGCCTTACCGTAAAAGCCGTGCGGGGCAGAGCCAAACTGCTCATAGAACCCCTCATCTACCTGCTCCTGAAAGCTTAT